GATAGTAGTTCCAGACTGGTGATGGGTGTACCCTGGGTGGTGTCAGGGTCCAATTAGTGATTCACGCTAGACTAAATGTTGAGACCCGTAAACCAAATGTCTAAAAATGACTACTACCGAAAAGTATGAATTAAAGTTTAAAAAAATATATACAGCGTCATAGTTAGATATCGACTTCTAGCCCCAAACACTTGGATAAAGGTTGAAGAGACTTCTCTCTACACGATCGGGTGCGTCATCTTAAATAAAGCTTTAGACAGTGAGATTTCCACTCAAAATGGGCGTGTCATATTGCGTAAAAATTATAGGGGCTGAGAGGTCTGGCCAATTATATCCTAAATTGGTCTGGTCGAGTTGCTCCTCAGGTTAAATTTTTTTTATTTTTGCGAACAATAATTTTCTTCGGTACTGCACGGATGGTTATTTTAGAGGACTTATATTAGCGGTGGAAGGACCGTTGGGTGGGGGGGGGGGGGGGACGGGCACACATAGCTAACAATAAGGGAGACAAGTAAACTAAATGTCTTAACGTGGCAACTACTAAAATAATCGTGTAAGAAAAAACAAAGTCTAGGTGTTTTATTTGCATAAAACACAAAGTTTCCTTTCAAACCTTTCTATAGGCCAACTAAAGTAGAGTTCACTCGTTTCTGTGGCCTCTGCATATATAGGGATAGTGTGGTCAGCACTATGCCCAGCCGCCTTTACTTTCCCTATCGTGAGTTAGGTACCCATCTCAGCTGGGTGAACTCAGGGACGGTATACTGATATGAACGCGGGTTAGTAGTCTAGCGCTCTACCGCTAGGCCACTCCCTTCCCTAGTTTTTATTTGACTTGAAGGGATTTTAATTTATTTTTTCACGTTTTTAATCCCTAACTATAATGGTTGAAAAGTTATATTTGTAGCTTATTCTTTGGATCCAACTGATTGCATTAACACAGATTTGCGTTTATCTCTTCGAAATGTCTCAAGGATCTGATATATCACATACAAGTTCTTATAATTTTAGCCCACCTGCACTTGCAGGTGTTACAGGATACAGGATATTTGCACACTTTTGTTCTTAAAATTTATAACATCTGACGCGAACTTTGAACATATAAGAAAGATAAAAAGATTGGGACTTATCCTTTGAGGTGTGGATATTTTGATTAGCTTTAAATAATCCAAGTTGTATATTTAGCACGGCATGTTTAAAAATAATCATCTGACTTCAAGTTTCCGTTGTTGTTCAAAGACCGCCCTGTCCAGAGTTCTGTGATCTACAAGTCGGGAATCACGTGATATCTCCAGCGTGATTGATACCTGAACCTTGTAAGCAAATCAGTGGCGGAACTAGAAAAAAAGGGCCACCCCGCATAGAATTTTTTTGGGCCCCATATATATATATATATATATATATATATATATATATATATATATATATATATATATATATATATATATATATATATACGTAAAATTAAAAAATACCTAGTTTTTATTAAAAAGTAAAAACAAGTTACACCACTTCATTTGTGTGAATGCTATAGGCTGTTGCAGTGGAGTCCAAATGGAGTCCTGCCGGTTGGCGTTTTTTTAAACCAAATCTGAATATTTTTATTATTTTGGCCAAGAAAACCAGAAAGTTACTTCCGCTTTTTTTTTAAACTTTGAACACAATAACAAACCGTTTGTTTGCAGATCTAAGATATCGAAATAGATCTAGATCTAAGTTCTCTTTAAACTAGACCAAAGTTTAGATCTAAATTTTTGTACATTAATGTTAGGAAGACACTCAAGCAGCTAGTGAATAAAGCAATCAAATTCTAACTTTAAAGTCTACTGCTGATTAATTGAGAAAGCTAGCTATTGAAATTAACAAAGACCCATTATTTTAAAATTAGATTCTAACACAGTAGTCGAATAATTACTAATAATTAGTAATTAGACTTAAAAATATAGACTGTTAGATTCTACTATATATATTCTACTATATATATTCTACTATAGATATTATAAAATATGGTTTTGTGTTTCGCTGAGGGATGCAAACATAGAACTCGCAAAAACGGCTGTCATTTTTTTCGTTTTCCTTCTGCTAGTAAAAATCCTGATTTAAGAAACAAGTGGATGTCAGTTATCAGGTTCTCTTGGCTTTCCATTTCTATCTCATGAGTATCATGGGATGTTCATCTGAATTTATTTACATTGAGGGGTCATCAATTTATAACGTCCTCACGCGGGGGGGGGGGGGGGGGTCAGAAAAAAATTGACTTTTGCGGACGCGTGTGGACTTATATAAGGAAAATAAGTGGATTTTTGTGGACGGGGAGGGGGGGTCGGGGTCCAAAATCCAAAAAAAATTGTGGACAACATGAATGGATGACCCCTAATGTCAAAACCATTAACTTCGTTGATTTTATGTAAAATGTCAATATTCTACTAATTTTCATAAAATTATTAGATTGACTTTGCTTTAAACAAATGTTAATGAATGTAAATTATGTTTATTTAGTCGACCTGACAGAGAACCTACGAAATTTTCAAGAGTGTGTTCCTGCCATTTTAACACGTTTTTAACACGTTTTTCTTAACTCAGCTTCGCGTTTGTTTGTTTGTTTGGATGTTTGTTGTTAAAATTGACATTGAAAATTAGCCCACTTCTGATTGCTCTAGAGATCTGAAATTTGGCATGTAGGCTACTTTCGCCTAACAATTTCAGATGCAATCATAAAAACTAGCAATTAGAGACCGTAATTAGCTTAATTTAATTACGCCCCAAGGACCATAAAATTGAGGACATGATTTCTAAAGATACCGACAAGACTGGAGGCCTATTGACACAGTTACTTCGACCCCAATCGATGTGAACGCGCTGGCCGTGATCGTATAGTGGTTAGTACTTCGCGTTGTGGCCGCAACAACCCAGGTTCGAATCCTGGTCGCTCAAGATTTTTAGTCCGTGTATTTATAAACACTTAGTCAAGTCATACTTAATCAAGTCATTAGATAAAGTAGAAAATGAACTATATAAAAAACTTTTTTAAAAAACACGTTTTTCATGTGTAGCAACGGACTAAAAAGGAGAAAATAAAATACTCAAAAAAAACTTTTTAAAAAACCACGTTTTTCTTGTGGACTAAAAAGTAGAAAATAAATTTTTCTTTTGTGCTTCCTCGAGCTGTGCAGATTCTTGTGATGGCTGACAAAAAACGTGGGTCAGCAGATGGGTCGGGAAATTTGATGGTGAACGTACCCACGTTTTTTGTCAGTCATCACAAGAATCTGCACAGCTCGAGGAAGCACAAAAGAAAAATTTATTTTCTACTTTTTAGTCCACAAGAAAAACGTGGTTTTTTAAAAAGTTTTTTTTGAGTATTTTATTCTTAACTCAGCTTCGCGTTTGTGGATGTGTGGATTTGTTTGTTGTTAAAATTGACATCGAAAATTAGCCCACTTCTGATTGCTCTAGAGACCTGAAATTTGGCATGCATGCTACTTTCGCCTAACAATTTCAGATGCAATCATAAAAACTAGCAATTAGAGACCGTAATTAGCTTAATTTAATTACGCCCAAAGGACCATAAAATTGAGGACATGATTTCTAAAGATACCGACAAGACTGGAGGCTTGTTGACACAGTTACTTCGGCCCCAATCGATGTGAGCGCGCTGGCCGTGATCGTATAGTGGTTAGTACTTCGCGTTGTGGCCGCGACAACCCAGGTTCGAATCCTGGTCGCTCAAGATTTTTTTAGTCCGTGTATTTATAAACACTTAGTCAATTCATACTTAATCAAGTCATTAGATAAAGTAGAAAATAAACTATATAAAAAACTTTTTTAAAAACCACGTTTTTCATGTGTAGCAACGGACTAAAAAGGAGAAAATAAAATACTTAAAAAAAACTTTTTAAAAAACCACGTTTTTCTTGTGGACTAAAAAGTAGAAAATAACTATTTACATACATTTGATGACAAAAAACGTGGGTCGGGCAGATGGGTCGGGAAATTTGATGGTGAACGTACCCACGTTTTTTGTCATCAAATGTATGTAAATAGTTATTTTCTACTTTTTAGTCCACAAGAAAAACGTGGTTTTTTAAAAAGTTTTTTTTAAGTATTTTTATAAATGGGGAGAAGAAGAATTGTCCAGTTTCCTTATTGATGTTCCAACCTGAAGATGTACCTTCTAGCTCTATAAAATCTAATTTATTACCGCTTTTCAATGCATCTGCTACTGACATTTTACATTGTATTTCCAATACATCCACAATGTCTTCAACATCACTTCATACTCCCTCCAGTTTATGTGTTGCAAGCATTAAAACATCTAAGTTAAAAGAAATTGAAAATTTGCCCTAATTTTGTAAATCCATCTTCATTTTAAAAAAATGTAAGCCTACCACCATATTGTCAAAATGAAAATAATTATCAATGCATTGTTAATTTTCCATTTAATGACACATCTTCATGTATATCTGAAAATATACCTATTCATACTTTGCCAGTGCCATCTTTAAATTCTACCTTCAGTAATAAAGAAGTAGAATGGAAATTTGATCAAAGGTCTCTTCTAGCTCAAAATGCAATGCTTCAAAAATCTTTAGAGTCAGCTAAGGTAGAAATTAAAGTACTCCAATCTGAATTATTGAAAAAACCTATTTATAGTTGGCTTAATGTGACAGAATCTATACTTAAAATGGAAACTGGTATTTATTCAAAAGATATGTTTATGGTTTTGTGTAACCTTGTTCGCCGTTTTACAGATAACATTCATTATTACTGTGGCTGGAAAGTTAATTTTAACACCATATCCTTAGAGGATCAGATTTTTATCACATTAATGAAACTAAGACAAGACTACACATATCTTCATTTGTCATCTCTTTTTTAATTGCAGCATTAATACTATACGTAACATTTTTCTTACATTTACATACTTAATGCATGAATTGTTATTTAAAAATATTTTAATGAAAACATACCCTAGTATGAATAAAGTAAGAAAAGCTGCACCTTCAAGCTTTTCAGAATATCCCAATTGTAGAATGGTAGTTGACTGCACAGAAGTACAAATTGAAATCCCAAAAGAGATGGATAAGCAAAGAGCAACATATTCCTCTTATAAATCTAAAAACACATTTAAGGTGTTAATTGGCATCTGCCCTAATGGCTACATCTCATTTGTTTCAAATATGCTTCTTGGATCATTATCAGATAAACAAATTTTTCTCAAATCAGGTGTAATAAGGTATTTTCAACCAGGAGATTTAATTTTAGCCGATAAAGGATTTTTGATTCAAAATATACTTCCCCCAGGTGTGTCTGTAAATATCCCTCCTTTTTTAAGTAATCCCCAATTTACAGAGAATGAGATAAAATGTACAAAAAGTATTGCAAGATGTAGGATACATGTAGAGCGTGCAATTCAGCGCATTAAAGTTTTTAAAATATTAACATGCATACCCCACGAGATGAGAACACACATAGATATTGTGTTTCAATTAATTGCTTGTCTTGTTAATCTACAAACTCCTCTAATACAAAAATAATGTTTTAACTTTGTACAAACACACACACACACACACATATATATATATATATATATATATATATATATATATATATATATATATATATATATATATATAGGCCTATATATATATATATATTAGGCTTCATGTATGTATCACTGGTGGCAATTTAAACAAATGCATAATTAAACATACATGAATACATGGTGTACATTTGAACTACATATATAATGCATTGTATTAATCTGAACATTACATACAATTATTTATATGGGAATATTTTTGTATTCATAATTTTTGATAATATACAAGAATCTGCTGAAATAAATTATATTAATTTAAAAAAAAACAGTTGATTAATGTATGACAGATGCACTAAGTTAAATATTATTGCTCAATGAAAGTTACTGTAATACTTATGTACTGTGATTTTATTATTATTTTGATATAATTATGAGCTTATAATTTCATCATAAATACAAATTGTCAATGTGGTAAAGAAAATTGTATGCAATTAACTAATTTTACATACATTAGTATTTTAATTATGTTGTTTGATATAAATAATTATGGCAAATATGAGGGTTTTGTTTCATTGGCCTAATGTTATCTAATATATTTTATTTATTTGGACTTTATTTTAAACATTGATTTTTTTTAAACAATCAATTTCATCAAAATCAAAATTATCTCAAAATCAGTATATTCTAAAATAAAATATCTTAAAATAATGGCAACTTATACTCTTCATCTTGTCTTTCTGGCGTTGAGAAACCAAAAGCAGATCCTAAACAGCATTTTCATAAGTTGTAAATGGGGTTTCTTGGTGAATAAACAAGGCAAAACTGTACAGCAGTCTGTGAACACCTGTTAGCTCCTCCGGGACATTCACATGAAGAAATGTTACTTTCATAGCTTTGTTCAAATGTAACTGAAAAGAAACAAAACTATTAAACATTCCAAAAACACTCAATTACAATTTTGGAGTGTAATAATTTATTCACTTAATTTACTGTACATTTTAAGATGTTTATATATATATATATATATATATATGAATACTTACAGTTACATTTACATTATACATGTTTTTTTTCATGCTTGCACAAGCTAGTAACTGATTCCTTTGTGTAGATATAAAAGACATCACCAGATTTGTAGTGGCATCCCTATTTCTTTACTACATTTAAATTGTCCTTGAAAAATTCCATTAAAGTGGTGATTGCAGCAACCCATAACACAATGTTCATTTACTTGTTATTAATTTTTCTTCAATTTTCATGAAGTTCCATTTACCTGGGAATGAAATATAAAATATTTATGGTTCATCATGTCTGTAATTATATATTTCAAACTATTATACTTATTAAATTTAATATGTAAGTATTATAAGTATATATAATACACAATGATCTATTCTTTCATGTACATTTAACAAAGGATGACAAAAATAAAATCTTTTCACTATGTAAATTGTATGGTTTATGTGTGATCAGGTTGTGCAAGGTACACATTTATTAAATTAATAATCAATGTATATTAGATATATATAATAATATTGTTAAGATTAGTCTGTTTGCTTTTCACAATAATAAGAACAATGCAATCCTGTCAATATTGTGGAAAAAAGCAAAACTGAAGAATAAATAGCTAATTGAATATCACCTTTTTTCATTTTACATGATCACAGTCAACTTTGAGAAAGTAATCTTGATTTTCCCAAGAATTTAAATTGTTACATGTATGTATTATTTTATTATTTGTTTATGATGATGTAATAATTAAGCCATATGAAATTGAAATAGTTTCATTTATATGTTAAACATTTTAAATAAATAATTAGAAAATTGAAAATGTTATGTCATTTATTGTAAAGGACCAGTTAGTTATGTCACTTGAAATAGGGATGATTAATGTATTTACACTTATGGGATGGCGTGGCTGAATATTAGAGCGTTTGGCTGCTAGCCCAAAAGTCTCGAGTTCTGATCTCGGTTTGGACTTGTGTCTGTGCCCTGTAGGACGTACCTGAGAACACTCAGCTCTGATGGGTACTTGACATTGGGGAAAGCAAAAAAAGTGGCTGGGCATAGTGCTGACTACATTATCCCTTCATAATGGCAACTTATACTCTTCATCTTGTATTTCCTGGAACTTGTGTAGGCTTCTTTCTAGAGGTCTATATGCACTGATTTAATTCAGGTAATCTGAAAAATAGATGTTCACACAATATTTCTACTCAGAATTTTCTCTTATAATTATAGTTTACATTTTATACATAATCAAAATTTTAAATAAAATTGAATCTAAAACTAGCCATTAAATCTATAACTACTTTAGGTCAATATATATTGAACATTAAGCCTAGATTCTATTACTAAATCTAAACTCTAGATCTAATAATCAGGGTACAAGGCCTACTAAATAAGTGGATATAGATACATTTTGCTACATTCCATATTAGATCTAGATTGTGGGCTAGAGTAATAAGTGTATGTTACAATATTTACTGACACAAAGTCCTAGACTCTGCCTAGACAAAATTTCTAAATTACTGTGTAGATTGTTACTACAACTCACACTGACACTAGCAATGCTACAGTCACTCTCTATTACACTAGTGAACTCTACAGTCTACATTTACAACTCTACACACCTTTTAGGCCTTGCCTTAGCTTAGACCCCACTAGACTAGACAGACTGAGATAGGTAGTACTAGACTAGAGTAACTAGATAGATTAGATAACTTACAACTAGCTCTCTACTCTACAAACACACACTTACACTAGAATCTAAAATCTAGAACTAGAATTCAATCTAGCTAGACTAGTTAGATTCTAGATCTAGAATCATCTAGTAGATTCTAAAATCTAAATCTAATCACTGTGTACTGAAGTGTACTGTCACTTTTTATTTAGATGGATCAGGGTAAAATCACGATATAGCGTCGGTTATTATTCCGGAACTGTACAGCAGTAAAAAACAGTAAAACCATGGCGTAGTCTGTCGAGCCGTTCCGGAAACCACCGGAAATACTGTAAACCATCATTTATTTGGCGCCATATTATTTTTAATACATAATGTTTTAAAATGTGCAAGGATTGATTTTAGTTGCATTTTAAATACTGTTTTGCTAATTATTTTGTATTTCTAATTATTTTAAGTGTATGTGCTAATTATTGCTGCTACTAAACATTATTCTAGTTATTCTTACTATTTTTAACTTTAGTTAATCTAATCGTCTTATTTACTAACAGAACAAGAGCTGGTTGTCGCAAATCTTCTGCAGGTTTTTTCTGTTTCTTAAAAAAAAAAAAATTAATTACTACACTCGAGTTTATTAATAATATTTAGATTTTCTATCTGTTATTAATTTTCTGTCAATTAAACTGTAAATTAAGTTAAAACATTAATTTAATGCACTTGACTTTATTTTTATTTCACCGGTCAAATAAACTATGGTTTACAGTAACGAATGTTACCGAAACTCAACGAACATTACCCAATAATTTCCGACGCTATATCGTGATTTTACCTGGATCAGTATAGTTAATAAAGTAATAAAGTAGATATAGGCCTACAGATATTATATATTAAGGATCAGGTAGATTTAGATTTTAGATCTAGATCTATTTTTTTGGTAATATTCTGTCATCGAACTAGACGGTCTAGATAAGTGTTTACTACTGTTTACTGTTTACCAAATCGTTCAGTAGGAGTAATGTCCCCTGGGGCTAGGCTTGCTAGGTCTTACATTAACTTTAAAAAATAATTAATTTACTTACCGCCACAAAACTTTTCAGTCAGAATTGAATGCAAATACATTACTTCCCAACCGTACGTACACAATAGACTTGAAATTGTGTATATTTGTTGCATATTGGGAGTTCATGATGAGTTTAAAATGTTGAAGCGAAGTCAAGAAACAAGCAGCCGCCATGTTTTTTTTATCAATGGGAATCATGATAACAAAAATTCATTTAGTTTGGAAAATTTAATCTCTCCCTGGCGGAAGTTTTTCCAAAACTTGGAATGGATTAATGAATTAATATTATTAATTATTTCAAAAAAATATTTCAATAGTTTATCTTGAATTAAAAAATTCAAAACACGTAAAAATCGATACTTAATATTTTGTTTTAATTTTTGACAGCTAAAACATAATTTTAGCGCTTGCCAATTAATTTATATAATTTTTTGAAAAATAGCATGTTATATAGCAAAGTATTACTGCAACACCCAATTAGATCTAGTCTGTTTCGAAAATCTCCGTTTTAATATGTTTGCTATAATGCCGTACTAGAAGAAGTCAGTCGAAATAATATGAAGCATGAAAGCTGTGTATGTGTAATGGTTTCTCGCCCTATGTTTATTTTTATGTTTTTTTGTATTTATATTATTAGTTTTAAATACATTTCTGTTTTATGCTTTGTTATTCTTTATTATGTATTTTTTAAAATAATAATTAAGAGAAGTAATTGCTTTTTATTTGTTTAATGCAAATCTATTAATAGTGCTTAAGAGCACACATATTTGACTATTTAAAAAAAGGGAAATAAGTCATGGAAGTGGTTTGAACGTTTGCGTATCTTTCACGCGATGGATTTATTTTCAAAATAATTTTGCCGACAACAGCATGTTTGATTGTAGGAGAAAGAGGACTCGAGATGGTGTCTATAGAATAAAGATAATCAAACAGCAGCTGCAGTATTCTTTTTACAAAACATCCATCAAGTCAAAAATGCAAGAAGATTTTTTTTTAAACTGTAAAAAAATTGATTATGGTCGGCTGCGGGCCCCTAAACGTCCCGGGCCCCCCCGCAATGCGGGGTCTGGCGGCACTGTAGTTCCGCCCCTGAAGCAAATACCGTTCAACATTACGCGTTGCGGATTCTATATTTTTTTTAAATTATTTGCTTTATTTATAGTTCAGAATAATAAAAAACAAATCGGTAATATCCCCCCCCCCTTTGTGTTAAACTCGTGGCCACCTCACGTGACCATCATGTGACGTCACGTCCTGTTTGATCTCAGTTCGAGTAACCTCAGAAGGTTAACACCACTCATAGGGTTACATTCAGCAGACAACAACAGATGGGCTCGTGACGTGGGGTAAGCTAATCCCTGGCGAGGTCATGGTGACAAAGACCCACATTCACGGCAGCAGTCCCAGAACTACTTTAGTGTCAGACGAAAGGTTTGGCAGAGATCGCTAAATGGTACCAGACATTGGATAATGTACAAGCTGTGTGGCCAAAAGCTAGAGCAAGATGCTGCAGTCTTAATGTTCTTGAATTGAGGTTTGAATCTGTCCTCAAATAAAATTCTCTGGGTCCACACAACACTGATTTACTCCAATCGAAAAAAATTCAAGAATGTTGGACAAATCAGTTCATAAACGTAGCTAGATAAACAGGTGAGCTCTACTTTATCTATCACAAATAGAATCTAGGACTGAAACGCGGAGTTAACTTAGTCCTTCTCGCATTTCGTGTGTTTACTGTAACCATGGTAACAGTCGCCACCAGCCACTCTTCTCCTGGAAAACTCGATGTAGTTCCTGTGTGAACGTGTGTGTAGATCACGTGATTTCCAGGCACGGCGCGACACTCAAACACTCAACTACGTCACTATGTGTAGTCTGGAGCTCGTTAGGGTGGCAGCAAGGCTGGGCGGAGAAAGATCTTTGGGGCGGAGAAAGATCTTTCGGGCGGAGATAGATCTTTGGGGCGGAGAAAGATCTTTGGGGCGGAGAAAGATCTTTGGGGCGGAGATAGATCTTTGGGGCGGAGAAAGATCTTTGGGGCGGAGAAAGATCTTTCGGGCGGAGATAGATCTTTGGGGCGGAGAAAGATCTTTGGGGCGGAGAAAGATCTTTGGGGCGGAGATAGATCTTTGGGGCGGGGAAAGATCTTTGGGGCGGAGATAGATCTTTGGGGCGGAGATAGATCTTTGGGGCGGAGAAAGATCTTTGGGGCGGAGAAAGATCTTTGGGGCGGAGATAGATCTTTGGGGCGGAGAAAGATCTTTGGGGCGGAGATAGATCTTTGGGGCGGAGAAAGATCTTTGGGGCGGAGAAAGATCTTTGGGGCGGAGAAAGATCTTTGGGGCGGAGATAGATCTTTGGGGCGGAGAAAGATCTTTGGGGCGGAGAAAGATCTTTGGGGCGGAGATAGATCTTTGGGGCGGAGAAAGATCTTTGGGGCGGAGAAAGATCTTTGGGGCGGAGAAAGATCTTTGGGGCGGAGATAGATCTTTGGGGCGGAGATAGATCTTTGGGGCGGAGAAAGATCTTTGGGGCGGAGAAAGATCTTTGGGGCGGAGAAAGATCTTTGGGGCGGAGAAAGATCTTTGGGGCGGAGAAAGATCTTTGGGGCGGAGAAAGATCTTTGGGGCGGAGAAAGATCTTTGGGGCGGAGAAAGATCTTTGGGGCGGAGATAGATCTTTGGGGCGGAGATAGATCTTTGGGGCGGAGAAAGATCTTTGGGGCGGAGAAAGATCTTTGGGGCGGAGAAAGATCTTTGGGGCGGAGAAAGATCTTTGGGGCGGAGAAAGATCTTTGGGGCGGAGAAAGATCTTTGGGGTGGAGAAAGATCTCTCGAGGCGGAGAAAGATCTCTCGGGCGGAGAAAGATCTCTCGGGCGGAGAAAGATCTCTCGGGCGGAGAAAGATCTCTCGTGCGACTGTCGTAAGAAACCTATTAGTGAGCAGCCAATGTTTTTGACGTCATAAGGTATTTCCACTAATAGGGTCAACTAATGCCGACTAGTGACGTCACCAACCATTACCACAAATCTGGTCATTAGTCCTAATCTATACCATCGTCTTATGGAGGTAGTTGTTCGGGGTTTTGAGAAAAGGTAATGGCATTTTAGCACCGAACTTTGAATATTTTAGTACAAATAAAGAATCACGTAAATAATTATTCACACACACAAACACAACGAGTGAAAACGGTCATTTTTCGCTTGTCTATGATCAGCCAATGATACAATGATAACCTACACACACAAATATACACACATTTTCACACAAATACACTAAACAGCATTATACACACAAACAACCACACAAATACACTAATCAGCATCATACCACAAACAACCACACAAATACACACTAAAGTGCACATAAATTATTCTAATGGGAATAACCCACCACCACCACCAACACAACCAGAAAACTTAAAACAAACTCTTAACTATCATTTGTCAGTAGGTCTACTGAAGGTCTCTCATTATCTTTCATATGTTTTTAAACAATCAGCTCTTCCTCACAATATCGAAATTTACTTTCTAAAATTGAATTGAAATCATTTTTAAAAAAAAAGTTATTTCAATTTCATTTTCATTCTACTTTAAAAACAGCTATCTTCGTTTAGCCTTATCAGAACTTATTACAAAAATTTGAATATTCTAAACATCTGTGATTATATTCACTGGTATTACTATTACCCCTTGTAAGAGGAAGCATA